TGTGGGCAGGACTGGGGAGGTTTTGTCGGGGTAAAACTGTCAGCCAGTACAACCAGCAAGGCAGAGGGAATATTCACCTGCCCACTGTCCCACTCCTTGTCTGGGCAAATAAGAAGGCTCCAGACATCCAGGACAGCACCAAGGACTTTGATCATTCATGGCCTGGGTGACAAGAGCAGAAACCTTTTCTTTGGGATGGTGAGCAATCACAGAAAATTAGGGCTGTGAGGGACCTCAGTCTAATAACCAGTTTATTCATCTGCCCTAAGGCAGGATCTACTGGACTGCCCCAAAATGACAGATGTTTATCTAACTCTAATGTATTATTAAAAGCCATCAGTAACAGGCAGACCACAACAACCAGACAATTTATTCTTATGTTTTGCTGTACTTTTATCTGCAATTATTACCAATGCATTATGCTGGAAGCTTTATCATCATCTTTCTCAGTGCAATCAAAGTTAAATTTAAACAGTCTTGTTAAGAAACCCCACTCATTGTCAGGAAACATAATTTCATTTCCCTTTTATCACTTCTGGAAAATTTTAATTCTGTTTCAGCAGGGCATGGAGACACTAGAAGGGTCTGATGGGTTCCTCAATGGTCCTTTTTTTCTTGTTTGGAAAGATATTTTCTTTAAAAATAGTCTCAGTTATTTACTAATAAATGTAGGGGATTCATAGGAACAATATTGGAGAATTAAGTCCTTGTTGTTTTCTGTTTTCTGTATATCTTCCACCTGGAGTCCAAAGGGTAGCCACCCTTACTGGGAAAGATGTATTTGTTCAATAAAACAAGATTTTTTACCTAAATATTAGAACTGGGGAGAAAATTAAGGTGGTGTTTGGGTTAACCATGAAATGAAGGTGTTTTTAGTGCAATCTCTGACATTACTGTACTTTATGAGAACCATTCAAATGAATGAATGCCTTAGAGTAATAATCTCGGTTTATACCTGCTTTTATATCGTATATATCTTCTATAATTCATTAATTTCTCCCTATAACAAACCTATAATATTTGATTTTATAACCGTAAAATCCTATAAAATGTGGCTTTATAAAAGGGGACAGAAGAAAATAATCAACACAAACCAGACAATTCCAAGGGGGAGAGTGATCCCACCCTGTGACTGTGGTGCTTTGCAGAGGCAACAGATGAAGCAATGCCTTCCTGCAGGCTGTAATTCAAAAAGAAGTACCAAAGCATGTCTGAGAACAGTGCACTTTGTTTCCCTTCAAATATTCTTTTGCAATGACATCCACTATTATTTTAAGCATCCACCTCTTGCATTGGGAAAGTTGCTGATTCCCACTGCAGAGCTAAGGAGAAACATGAGGAGATGGGAAATCAAGCAAAAATTGTTACCTGTTGGGATCTTTTATGGCCAATAAAGTAATTAACAGCACAGCTGTTTGCAGCTTGTTGGAACTAGTTTGCAGTGACCCGTGCAATCAGAAGTAGAGACAAAGGAGTCAGGAAAGGGAGAGAAACTGGAGGTTTTCAGCTGTCAGAGGAAAATAAATTGGCTGGCTCTACCTCTTCCCACTAAGCTGTCGAGTAGGCACATCTTATGGTTCCCAGCCAGCCATGCAGGCTGCAGGAAAATAATGGTTTGGGGACTTTCCATTTTCCCTCATCAAAATCTTAATCTTCCGAATAACATGTTTGCTGCCGAAGCCGCGAGAAGGGAACAGAGAAAACAGCTGGTTAGAGACCGAGGCTGCTGGAAACCACCTGCTTGAAAACGTGCATGAACACATACACTTCCTCATTTCTTATTCATGTGAAAAAAAACATTCCTTGCCACTGGAACTTTCAGCTGACTCATCCTGTGATTAGTCTCCTGGCCTAAAAGGGTAAGGAAGTCAACACGTTCTTTAGCGCTGAACGTGGTGATTACATCTTGATTTCTGAGCAGGAAAACTTGGTTGAAACAGTAAAGTTTTAGGGCTATAATCTCAATTAGAGCAATCAAGTGATGGTAACCAGTGAAAACCGCAATTCTTTATGGAAGCCTGATAAGAACTTTGCTTGAGCTACAATCCAGCCAATTCATCAAGGTGGTGTTTGCCATGCTGTGTGCTGCCTTCCAGGAGCTGCCTTGCTCTGGAAGGCAAAGAGCTGATCTGTGGAATCACAGAATTAACGGAAAAGGACTTATTTATAACAGTATGAGGGACACAGAACAAGTACAACAGCAGCATCTTGTTCAAGTAAACACTTACACAGATCACTTTTCAGTATGAAAGCAAAGCTTTCCACAGAACAGCAGGAGTTGAGTGGGTTGGGAGAGATCAAAGGTAAGGGTGACAACCAATTGTGACGGCAGGCAATGTGAGGCAGTGTGTACTTTTTCCTAGGAACTGAACTGGAACTAGCATTTCCTTCAGTGCATCACAGAATGAGCCATAGATTCATTTGTAAAATTGTCTGAGCACTTGGATTTGAGCATCTTTGGCTTCAACAGAAACAGGCCTGAAGAGGAAGAAAACTCCAACAGCAAAGATGTTCGGTCTGCTGGATGAGTTATTTCCACCTCGAGGTTCATATTAATCTTGTTTGCTTTGCTACCCTTTCTACCAATCCAGCTAGATATTAAAAATACCCAACACAGTAAAAATCCAGTCCTTTCCACTGCAGACGTTGGAATATGACATTTCCCTCTAGAGACAGCTATGAGATGTGGAATTTCCAAGCTCAGCACGTGCCTAGGGAACAGCAGAGGTATATGTCTGTCCTCTGTGGTGACCAAAAGGAGATGAAAAAAGAGGGAATGCTGACTGTGACTTGAAGTGTGGATTTTTTCTGCCCTCCAGAAACAAAAGCCAAAACCTTTTCTTTATTTTATTATTATTATTATTATTATTATTATTATTATTATTATTATTATTATTATTATTATTATTATTATTATTATTATGTAAAAAAAGATGATACAAATGTAAACTGGTAAACAATTCAGAAAAACACTTCTAGTCTAAGAGGTAGAATTTATATAGTTTAAAAAAAAATAAATACATAAATAAATATATTATATGTAATCTGATTCCTACCATCTCTCTCCTCTGTAACAGTTTTTGATGAAGCTGAAACATGCTTCAAAAATCCTTAAAAAAATCTCTGTGCCTTTGATTTTAATATATCTGATTTACAGGGTATCCACTCCAATCAACAGATAAATCATTCCAATGACCAGCCATTCCCACAGTTAGAGTGCTATTCTCATCAGATTCTGGTTTCCACCATGAAATCCTAATCTATAGCAGTTTGGCAATTTGGAGATATTTGCAATGCTGTCACAATGGCACTGGCTGATATTCATTATGCTCCTGACTGGAAGAAATCTAAGAGACAAATGAGTGAGTAAGCAGTTTCTACAAGTCAGTATGAGCCAAAGCTCAAAGAAGTTCCAAAAAAAAAAAAAAAGAGAGAAATGCTGATTAACTAACAAATCAAAGTGACATTCCAGTTTAGCTTTATCAGAACAAAATGACTGATGCTGAGAGGTTGCCTGTGACTCTGGGTACCCAGCATCAACCTAAGAAGGAAGGTGCCTACCAGCCTCAGGAACAGCAGCTCAAAGCCAAAGGGCACAAGTCTCCTTGCCCTGAAGTTGGCTGTCCAAGGAATAAGCCCTACTTTCCTTGGCATGCTGAATATCTGGATAGCTGACCACTCACAGCACCTGACCTAGGCTAGAGGGAGTAATGAAATAGTTCCTGTTCTGCTTTCAGAAATGGGTAAAACAAAAGAGCTTCTGTCTGTTAAAGTACAAGAAAAGGGCTTTGAGTTACAGTAGAAAGGCTGAAAGGCAATAGAAGTTGGTATATGTTCATCACTTTTCAAGTCATGTAGCCTTGTTGTAAGCATTTGGGGTCCAAATTTCAGAAGAACTTAAAAAAATAAATATATTGCTAAGTAGGTAATCTAATGGTCATATTGTGAACTGTCTCATAACCATTCCATAAAGGGAACTCTTAATTAAAAAAAAAAAAAAATGCCATTATATTAAACTTCTGTCTATATTGTGTTATATTTTGTAGTTCAGGGGAAAAAAAAAGAACAAAAAAACGTGGTGACAGGTTGGAACTAGATGCTCTTTAAGATGCCTTCCAGCCTACACCATTCTGTGATTCTATGATGATTCTATGAAAAACAACAGTTGAAAACACAGTCAAAGTGTATAACAAGCCTCAGAACATTAGAGGACAAAATAAAGCTTCAACTTATTTTTATAGAATATGTGAAAAAAAAATAAAAATAAAAGACACAGGGCCCTGCCTTGTGCCTGTCAGGGGTGGGACACAGCAAACACCCCAGAGTGACTGTGTATTTAATGTTCATAACAGGACATATTGCTAAGCCACAAAAGAACCTCAGAGATTTTCAGAAGCATCTAATGGCCCTAAAAGTATCCATGAATTTCCTACAATGGAGACATCCTTCACCAGGAAGTACTGCCTCAGCTTAATAAATCAATACTGGATGACTTGGAGCAAATTGAGAAACTGAACCAGTGAAAAACTACCCAGATGAGATGATTTTTATTCAGAAGATTAAAGCACTTCAGCTATGGAGCTGCCATGATATGTGATCTGTAGCTTAGCACAAAGTGCTAGCAGAATGAAAGGTGGCACCAGGGCACCAATCTTAAACAAGGGCTCCCTCCCACTGGTGGAAATCACAGGAGAAAGTTCCCCACCAGAGAAGAGAACAAATAATAAATATTATCTATATGATCTATGCATCCCCATTCATTTTGTCCAGCAAAGACATCCATGTCATCCATCACATGGACACAATCAATGCTCAAGCGATGAGTTTGCCATCTTCCAAAAAAGGTGGCAACGGTGCTCCTTATTGAAAGCTCTTCAGCTCTGTCAGTTTGGAAGGAAGGATTTCCTCAAGGACTGATAATGGCTTAAGAATTAGGAAAGAGAACTAATTAAACACATTGGAAAGGCAGTTATGGTGCCCCAGGTTCAGTTCAGCTGGGATCTTTATTCTTTAACATATCAATAACTTACATGAAACAGGCTAAAAAGTCACATAATGGAGTTTCCAGATGAAACAACAATTTCTGGATACTGAGATCATGTGTGGCCTTCAGCTCTGGCTACCGTGAACTGCTGCAGAACTGACCAAGCAATGAAATGGTAAATAAAACTCAAGAACAATGACTGTGGAAAAACTAAAGCAACCCCCCACAGCCCCCATACAGACTTTTTCATAAATTGTAAATGAGATCTTTTCATTCAGGACGGAGCTCTTCCACCCACTGAACATGCTGCTCTGGGAAGACCAACTAGATTTTCCAGTAGGTGTCAAGCGGGCAAAAATAGAAGGTTTAGCCAAATAAATGTCTCACTGCTGACACAACTTGGAAGCCTTACTCCCCTTGAGCTCCTCCTTGTTAGTTCTTTCCTTCATTCCTACCCAGCCTTCCCTGCTCTTTCCTCCCACATCCACTGATCCCAAGTGCGTGACCCCTCCGTCTGGCGCTGCGACCTGACGGATCAGGAGGCAAGCCAGCGCAGCTCACCACAGACAAAAGCACTTCTTTTTGTTATTATTTAAGTGACCTTTCTGCCACTGCAGTGAATTGGCTTACTGTGTGTCTGGAGGAGCACCAGCAACACACTGGGCTTGATGGAGCCGGGAGCTGGGGGTGCAGAAGCCGAAAAGAAGGGCAGGACCTTTCCCTCTTGGCAGCAGCGAGCTTTTATCTTGGCTTAAGCTGTATTATGAAATCATAAGCTGGTGCTCATTTCTAAGCATCTGCTTCTGGCCCTGGACAGCAAATTACCAAAATTAATCTTTATTCTAATCCTGCACTGAAATAATTACACTCAATGAATCAGTCTTGGAAAGCAATATGGATAGTTACCTTCAAACAGTGTAGATAATTCTGTGAACAATGACCCAGAAATTCGATAGCCTTCTCCCATTAAGTCATCATTAAGTTCTCCCAGCACTTCTCCCTGTTTAACAAATCATGAGGAAATTCAACTACAGAAGGCCATTATAAACTTTATATATATGCACAGGTATTTTTGACTCTCACAATTTGTTCCTTGGTTTTAGGTGGAATACATCCGTCCTTATTGGATTTTTCTTTTTCTGAGCACAGAAATAAACATGTTGCTATATTCCCAGCAGAAATGATAGCTGAACTCATACAGGCATTTTGGAAGTGATTTCATCATTATTGTGAAGTCCCATGTGTTGCAAAACTTGTCAAAGAATGAAATGCTTTAGGGATTAATTACAGGCTCTGAGTCACACTTTAATAAAGCTACCGCAAAATGGCATCCAAGGAGCACTCGGAGATGAAACCATTTTAGGTTCTGAAATCTTACAGCCTGAGATGACTCTACCTGGAGACGGCCTTTATGTCTCTGCCTTGATGTACCAAATCCAAATTTGGAAAGATGGGAGCCAATCACTCAAAAAGATCCTCAGCTTGGGATGAAGACCAGGTCAGCATATGTCATTCACAGACGTTACCTGCTCTTCCTTCAAGACATACAAATGCAGCAAAAAAACTGCATAAACTGGAATGTTTAAATTGAAGAAAGCCCAAGAAATAAAGAGTCTCTGTTCATTTTTCTAAGAATAAGGCGTCCTGCACTGCTGTGATAGACAGTGAAGCTCAGGGGGCTATGTGCATGGCTAAAGAAGCACAAGAAATGTGAACATATCCAACACCGAGACTTTTGAGTGCCTGTTCCCCAAATAAAAATGAAACATTTAGCAGGTGTGCTAGTTCATCTGCTGGTAATCAACATTTAAAAGACAATCCAGTTTGGCCCACAATACAAATATGGCTTTTCTTACAGTTGTTCTTGTGTGGGAATTTTTCTTTTGTACCCTTTTTTTCCCTCTGGAATCACTATAACCGTACTGATCAAAACACCTAGAAGCTTTATGCAAATTCTTGCTGGAATAGCCTGGCACAGAACTGGTCCAAACCATTTTAAGTTGTGCCACACCTCTCTTCCAGCAGCAGGTCTGTTTGTTAAGTGCAAATATAGCCAGGCCTATATGCACTGCTTGATTTTTTGTGAAAACAGGAGGCCACTGAAGCCAGGACACCAGCCTGTCCTAGATGGGAAGATGCTGGAATTTAAATGAGAATTACAATCCACTGTGGTAACCCTTAGGAAAATAGCCACAGGCAGTTAACAGATTGGTTAAACATGCTTCACCTTCTTGGCCTAAGTGGAACTATGGGAGTGCATTAATATAAACATTTGCATTTAATATATTATCTCGTCCTGGAAGAATGGTCATGAATAAATACAAACCCAAGCACAAATTCTATTCATCTAGTTTATAGTGAGAAAAACACATGATCCTGTATTCTGCTTTTCAAACAGCCTGAAGGAGCCCAGGCAGGCAGCTTGTGAAGCCATGACAAATTGCTGCCACAAAACATGAGGGAGGGAAGGGAGGGAGCTCAGGAACAGCACCTGGTGCACATCCTAGAGCTGAGATGGTGCAGCTCTGCTCTGCCTCCCACCTTCCCTTTGACCCTGGACAAACTGCTGCCTCGCTCCAGCTTCTGTTTCCTCCCCTCATTTCTGTTTCCCTTCAGTATGTCAGGAGGTGTATGATCCAAGGTGCAGAACTTTGGCTGAAAGATTCCCCTGAAAGTCCATTTGGGAATTGAACTAAATGTAACTAAAAAGTAAATTTTAGATCTGAGATTCACAACCATACACTAGCAAGGGTAAACCCAGCTTTTAAAAAGTCTTGCCAAAGAAAACAGGTTTCCTAGTCATGTAGCACTGCTTAAGAGAGGCAGCTGTTTGAAATCTCACTTTGTAGTTAATTCTCAATTTAATGAGACTTCACAAATTCGAACTTTAAAAAAGGGCATTTTTGTAATCTGGTAGTTCAGCATATGGGTGCTGGGGGAAGGAAAGCTATTTTGCATGTCTATAAAAGCTGGTACCAGAAGCTGACAGTTATGAAATGTGTTTCTAAACAGAGTAGAAGCTGTTGGTCTGATGGTAGGTTGTGTGGGGAGCAGGGGGAATATCCAGAAGTGAGTAGGAGGATTCAGCCTGGCTTCAGCACTGAGATAATCACAGCTGATGTGAAGCAGCAGTGATCAAAGGCCAACACCAGACAAGAGCTGCAGAGAAAGTGTTGCCCATTGATATAAAACCCATTTCTTCTTCACTCCCAGCATCTTAAGACATACAATAATAACTTTTTTTAATGGCCTGTGGAAGGCTGTGTTGAAAGAATGATCTTCTGCGTGGTTTTTGACAGTAGCATTGTAGCTTTGGTGGCCAGAGAAAGTGAAGCGTGGAGCAGAGCTAACATCATTTATCAGAGCAGATATAAAACATTTTCAAAGCACTGAGTCACCTGCAGAGTCTCAGAACCTGGCAGAATATCTGATTTTTCCAAATATATCAGCAAGGCTAGTAAAGAATGTTTGTTGTCTCTCCCTAGAGATCTTGCTTCTCTGAAAATATTGTTCTATATTTTTCTGCTATAAAAAGTTACAACACAATTAAATTGTACAAAAAATGAGGTCTGGGAAAGTTCTTGTACCAAGACAGAATAGAACAAGGGAAAGAGAATAACCACTGATGGACACATCAAATTTTCACTTTGCAATGAAAATGTTTAAGGGACACATCTTTTAGAGTTTTGGTCCCTCATCTATTACTGGATTCAGTGAGCCAAGTTAGACAGAAAGAATAGTTACACTTAGTATAAAGCAGACATGAATTTCAGAAGGGAAATGCATTCTTAAATGAAATGAGAGGCCCCAGTCAGTGCTAAGCAAAGTAACTTTTTGGGTGTCAGTAGGGTAATGGCAGTTTGTCATACAAACATGATTTTTCTCCCTTCTCCAGACACTACAAAACTGATTCAGGAATACAGTGATTAATACTAGCACCAGTCATTTAAATTCTTCTATAACAGCAGCCACACAACATTTACCATGCTGGCTGAATGGTTTCCCACTGGGGCAGGGAGCCTGACAACTGAGATCAGAAAGTAAACCCAGGACACTAGAAAGCCAGCAAGGGGAACAAAAACATCTGAAGGAAACTAAAAGGTAAAGAAGTAAATAATTAGTAAAAACACAATCAAAATTAATTTGCCTGTTTGCCCTTTCTCACTGTTGGAATGCATGCTATGAAGCTGGGTCTGACAAACCACTGAAAAACACTTCCCTAGACAAGGACAATGCGACAAGAAACCAAACTCAGTTCTCCTTTATGACTCATTTTCCTTTAACCTCTGTCATCTTTGAAGGAAACATCAGAGTAGCAAAAGCCACTTGCTAATGTCAAGCACCTTCTGAAGGTAGACTCTAAAACCTGGATTTCCAACATAGTCCTAATCTCTGACAGCTGCTTTCAAAAGCTGCAGTAAAACAGCCAGCCATCCATTCTCAGCTCTTGTCACAGTGACTCAGAGAAATGCACAGCCATGCTGATGTGTTGAAAGCCAGTCAGATTCCAGACAAGGCCATCTGCATGCAAAACTTGCTCTGTTTTTGCTGTCTCAAGTAAAGTCTACTTCTATTTTCCTAAGTGATTTCTGTGCCCAGGAGTGGCTTGCAATAGGACTTGCTTGAAACAGACACAGAAGAAAAGAGGTCTCAAGCACAAGGCTGGAAAAATATCCGTGAGCACACCCACCCTTTTTGCTCCAAAAGACAAACTTCTTAACAGCGTGGCCATTGCCAGGAAAAGATCATATTTTAGGACTTGGTATTTTTTGTACCTTAAAATAAAGAGATTTATAAGCTTTTATATCCTGATTTAATCCAGTTTCTGTTCCCTCTCTCCTGGTTGTGCCTTTTCTGCTGTTCTTATGCCCACACCTCCTCCTCCTCCTTTTCATTCCATTTCGTGACTATTTTCCCTGGATCTCTTGAACTATGTCTTCTTCTAAAAGATTCTGAAAATAATTTATTCTGAGAATAATTTATCTGAAATGTTGTGTTCTGTGCTTTAAATTAGTTCTTCATGGTGTCACAGAAGATCTCCAAATCCCTGCTTTAAAGACATGGGGTTAAGTGGAAGGGTTGTCCAAAATAATGGCAAAACAATTCTGGTGCTCTGTGTCAGGAAGGAGGCTGCTCCAGAGAAGCAGGAATTGCCATCATTTTAAGGGACAACTCACATTGTATTTTTGGTAAGAAAAGGATCCACAACTGTCATAGCATGACTGCACTAATTTCAAAGCAAGCCAAAAGCTGAATCATTTTAATTTAGTCCCACAAAAAAATGCATTTCAGAATCACCCTCACTGTGCACAACCCACATCTACTATGTTCCTTCCCTGAAAAAAAAATACAAGTGGTCTATTATTAGTAAAGGGCAGCAGCAGGGCTGGGAGAGGAGCCCTGGCAGGGCTGGAGAAGGCAGTGCCTGTAGCTGAACACATCTGCTTGCTCTTCAGTGAGCCTGGCCAGGACTTGCACAGCTTTTGGGACTAGCAGCCCGAAGGGATAGGCTCCACAAAGTTGCAACAACAAAGCTGCTCTGTGCTTATTTAAGCAAAACTCTTCCTCTGAGGCAGTCTGAGAGCTCCCCATGGGAAACTTATTTACATATTTGAGTGATACGTCACTCAGTCATGCCAGCACTTCTCAGGACTGCGAATCCTGTAGCTAGTCTAAATCTGTGATCTTGCCATGGTTTCTTAGCTTCTTCCCAGTTACAGGCAGAGAAAAATTCCAACTGATAAACCCTTTTAAAAGTGACTCTTTTTTTGTACTGCTGAAGGAAAAAGAGGAGCAAGATGAGCCTTAAGTTTTTATCCATCTGGTGGTGAAATGTGTGTCTGTTTTTAGCTCTTGGACCACAGACCATAGGCTTTGAAGACTAGCAGGCCCACATAACTCTTTGAAAGTTGAAGGAAAAAAAGAAGTTCTTTCTGCTAGCTAACAAGGCTGTTTTGGGTCATTGAAGCAGGGCAAATCTATTAAGAGCAAAAACCTAGT